TGGGAAGGGGGGGGTTGGTTAGCAATCGATTTCGTTAAGGTAAGTTTAGTTAGGTTAAGCTATGTTAGGTTAAGGTTAGTTATGTTAAATTTAGGTAGGGTTGGTAAGGAAAGGTGTAAGTTAAGTTTGATTAAGGTTTTAGTTAGGTTAAGTTTAATTATGTTAGGTTAATTTTAGGTTAAATTTCGTTAGATTATGACAGCATTAGGTTAGGTTAAGTCGAGGATTCTGAAACTATAGGAGGAAAGTTCAATAAATTTTACATTTTATATCCTCCTGCGACGGTGGTGTCGCCAAGCGGCTGAAAGTAATAAAAAACACAAAAAAACAAACATTAAGCCTATTGTGTCTTGCATGATACTGTGCGATAACACAAGATTATTCAATACAAGTTTTGTATATAATCAGTAGGGTATTGACATCAAAGTTTAGATATCTTGGGATAATTTCTCAATGCCTCAGATCGATTATTTTGCAGTAAAAGATAATTATTTACCTACTTAATGAAATATTCTTGCTTCGGTGCTTAAGTATGAGTGATAGTGGTAGCTACAGCTTTACACCAGTTTTACACCATTTAAAATGAAAAACAAATTGTAGTAGGCAGTTAACCAATGCACTGCATAGTACAGTAGCTATTAAACCGGCTACTATTTTAGTAGTGATATAAGAATATCACGATATTTACAAGTTGGTAACAGAGTTGGCAGTGACACCACTTTTTCACATCTTAAATTGTGCTCGCTAATTTATTGATGACCAACTTTTTAGTACAGTACTGTACAGCTACAAAACTACGCAACTACCAATCTATTGATGGAAATTCAAGACTGTAGGTTTTAAGATTTGGCTGCTACAGTGTAAAAAAATTGAAGATCAGGCTACATTATTCCAAAGTGTAATGATAGTAATAATAATAATATTAATTCAGTGAAATTGTCATGTATATAACTATGCAGATACTCTATACAGGTATGTAGGTATACAGTTCAGCATGAATAGAAGTTCCTTTGTTTACGATACAAAAAATTCCAGTGGTTGTGCTTACCGATTAATTATGAGCCGTTTTTTTTTCACGAAACGACACAAAATTGCCAAGGCAAAGGTAAAGTTAGGTTGGGTTCGGTAAAGTTTTTTTGTCTCAGACTTTTATAAAACATGGAGCACATTCCCTTAACAGTCCCTTATCACAACAATCACATCAAAATTACAATTTACAATTAATTATACATTTACATTATCAAAAAATGGTTATATTTATTTGAGTAATTCCTAATCATTTTTAATAGAAATGCTCTCTTGGAATATTTTATTATCTACCAGTTACAATGGGTAAATTTACACAAGATAGATCTGAGATTTTTTTGGAAACCTTATTAAATATTCTTCTAACTTGAAAAAAGTTTATAAGTGACAGGTATTACATAACGATGTTCTATTCCACTGATAATTTATTTATTTTTTTCAACCGCATTTATTAACCATATTGAATTCCTGTAAGTTAGTTTTGCATCATCCATATACCTGACAACCCGCAATTATTTAGTAAAGATCAAATTTGGTTCAGCTATGAAGAAAAGAATCTATCCCCCTCTTTTGACTTGTAAAGGAACTAATGCATAATATGGCTCAGTTTGTTCTGTTTCCCATTTATTAACCTTGTCCAGTATCCCACCATTTTATATGTTTATCAATAGCCCATCTACCCAATTCTCCGTACACTACTGAATTACACGTATTTTTTATTAACGTTAAGGAGATGTTTTAAGAGTTTTAAGCGAAGAGTTTCTAAATCTTTATAAATATTATATCCCCAGACCTCACACCCATATGTCATAATTTGTAATACCATTACATCAAAAAGGTGAAGATGCAAGTCAATGGGCAGAACAAATTTCCTACATTTCCCTGTTGAACTATTCATGGCTCTGTTTGCTTGTCTACATAAATCATGTTAAGTTTTTTAAAATACACCATTATAATTCAACAAGACACCTAAATATTTATATTCATGAACGATTTCAATTTGTTCTTTAAATCTTAGATCATATCATTCGCTGCACATTTCTTTTTTTTTCCAAACACCATTATCTTTGTTTTATTACTGTTTATATCTAACTTCCATTCTTTACAATATTCCCCCATATCCTTAAGAGCATTCACAATACCTTTCTCACTATTGGCCAGGAAAACAGTGTCATCTGCATACATTAATACCAGAAATTTCAACATCATATCTAACCATTCCTCATTAAAACTAAAATATTCACAATTTCTTTCAATCAAGAACTCTTCAAGATCATTAGCATACAGTGAAAATAGAATGGGCGAAAAATTTTCTCCTTGCCTAACTCCCCTACAACTCATAAAATACTCAGAAATCTCTTGTTTATGCATTATACAAGACTTAATATTTCTATACATACTAATAAAGACATTTATAAAATAACCATATATTCCGCTTCTATCAGTTTATACCATAAGCCATCCCTCCAAACAAAGTCAAAGGCCTTTCTATAGTCAATATACAAATAAAATAACTTTTTGGGCATTGAAATAAAACGATTACATTTCTAATACAAATATATGATCAATGGCAGCATATCCTCACCCAAACCCGGCCTGTAATTCTTTAATAACACTCTTAGTTTCACAGAATTGTATTAATCTGTCATTTAACAATGATGTAAATAATTTTCCAACACAACTTAAAAGAGTTATACCTCCATACTTATTTACTTCCCTCACATCATCTTTATTTTTATGTATGGGACCTTTGAGACCTATAAACCACTCCTCCGGTAACTCTTTAGTATTAAACACATTGTTGAATAGCTTTATGTACAGTGGACATAACAGTTGTGTAGTACTCTTTATATATTCATTAATTATTTTGTCAAAACCCAGGATTTATTGTTTTCAAGATTTCCTATGCATTTCATTATTTCATCGTCTATAATGTTCGCATTTAATATATTATCCACACTCACATCTGTGACAATATCCAACCTGGATTCATTTTCATAATTTCTTTCCTCAGTCATCCCTTTGAAATGATCTAAGAATTTGTTTATCATTATAGGAATATTATTTTTTTAACACTCTGTAGAGTTTGCCAATAAACTTTGGGTCTTTAGTTTTTAGTTCCTTCAACCTATTTATGATATTGCATTTTTCTTTCGCTTTAACTCTTTTGAAGTTCACTCTTATATGTCTTACTTTTTCTATCATATCTTTATAATTACATTTAATGTTATTCGAGTTGAATCTATGTTTTGCTTTATGATATCCCTTTCTACTCACCCAACATTGCTTGTCATAACCTGTTAAACTTTCACTGTTACTCTTTTTGACAAATTTCTTCTTTTCTTCCGGAGAACGTCCTCACAGCAGATTCCATAAGAATTTTCTTTAATTGGCCATTTACCTTGACCACAGACATTTAATTAATAGTTTAAAGAATTCTGTGTATATATTCTTCATCCACATTACTAATATATTTCTCTGTTTTTTCTTGTTTATCAATATATCTACTTTCATTTTGATTACTTACACTTACCTTATCCTCTTGTAATGGCATCTCAAAATTTAATTCTACTTGAATAACACAAATGAACATCTGAAAATTAGGGATCAAAGTCTAAAATTCTTAAGTAAAGATGATGAGCCAACAAAAGTTCTGTGAACAGTGGTTTCTTTTCTCATCAAGAAGTACTCCCCAATTCTTCCATTAAGGTTAGTTAAAGTTAGATTAGGTGGATAAAGTTACGTTAGGTAGGTAAATATAGGTTAGGTAAAGTAAGGTTAGGTAGGTAAGGTTAGGTTAGGTAGGTAAAGATAGGTTAGGTAAAGTTAGGTTTGGTTAGGTTAGGTAGGTAAAGATAGGTTAGGTAAAGTTAGATTTGGTTAGGTTATGTCAGGTTTCGTTAGGTTTGGTTTTATTCTTCTTTTTTTGTGTGTGTTTTTATCATACAATTTAGTTGGGTTGGGTTGGGCTGGTGAGGTTCTCTTGAATTTGCCCAAAAAATGAATGCGAAATCCATTCAAAACACATCGAAATATATAAGAAAAGCACAATTTTCGTCCACAAAGTCGTGGGCGGTCCTAAAACAAATAATGACCCAAAACTTCAAAATTCCAGCCTTTTATTTTAGACAATACAATAACATCCTGCTCATTTTATATATCTTAATGATATTGTGATGTTAACTAGAAATTTTGAAGAGTGGATCGTTATCAGTACTAAATAAAGAAAGAGCTCATAAAACTAATGAGCAGTCAGCAGTCAACAATGACACAAGTAGGTATACGACTAACCTCTCTGGATCTTCGAGAAATCAGCAGAAAACAGGTTTCTGTTCCTCAGAGAGTCAGTAGAACACTTAATAGATGCACAGTATCGGGGCCCCATTGCAGCTGCTAAAAAAAATTAACAAAACAAAAGAAAATTGTGATTTCGCCAAATTCTTCGTCTTCCTCCTTTTATTCCTTGCCTGGTAATTATTTTGTTTTACTTTCTGGCCGCTCGGCGGCACCACATTAGAGGGTGAACGCGTTTGCCCATTGGAGCGAGCTATGTTGTTTGGGTGATTTAAGAAACAATATGAATGGTGAGTTTATCTCACTCTGATAAAACAAAACAAAGAGTACACTGTGCCGTCAATTTTCTCATCTGCATGGAGCTTAACACAAAATGGATATTTATATTTGAAAAATTAACACTCCTTGGTTAACTAAAGTAAATCCTCCCCATTACACTAAAAGAACACTTCTCTATTTAACTAAAAGAAACCCTCCATATTTAATTAAAACAAACCTTCCTTATTAGAGTAAAAGAAACCCTTTTTTATTAGAGCAAAACAAACCCTCTCAACTTGAGTAAAAGAAATCCTATATTACCAAAAGAAATCTTCCCTATTGGAGTAAAAGATGCCCATATATTTTAAGGTTAAATTTACCTCAAGATAGTCAACACATACTAACAACATGTTCTTCTCCCCTGCCAGGTGCTGCAGTACTATGACACAGAGCCCAGTTACCTCTACGATTATGGGAAACGACATAGCAACTACGGATTTGGCCTCGGAAAACGAACCCCCGGCTATGCCTTCGGTCTGGGCAAACGCGAGGGCTTGTACTCTTTGGGCCTGGACAAAAGATCAGACCTCTATTCTTTCGGGCTAGGCAAGAAATCAGGTAGTTATAACTTCGGTTTGGGCAAGAGAAGCGTCGGCGATCTCCCGGAGGTCTCAAAGGTAGAGGACGGGGCGTCTCCAAGGACAAAGCGAGACGTAAGCATCACCGAGGATACCCTAGAGGACAAGAGAGCCAAATACTCCTTCGGGATCGGTAAAAGAGAAAGCAGCAAGAACAAGAGGTCAAAGTTGTACGGGTTTGGTCTGGGAAAACGAGACTCTGGTGAAGAAAGGAGGGAAGACGACGACATGGAAAACAGAACCCAACAGTATTCCTTCGGCCTTGGCAAACAGGACCCCGACATGGAAATAGAGAAAAGGCCACGAAATTATGCCTTCGGTCTGGGAAAGCGAGAATCTGATGAAGATTCTGATAAAAGATCTCAGATGTATTCCTTCGGTCTTGGCAAACGGGATCCCGACATGGACATGGACAAGAGGCCCCGGGATTATGCTTTTGGCCTTGGGAAACGTGCCTCCAGTGACGAAGATGACGAGGAGCGTTACTACGCATATGAACAGGGAAAGAGACCCACTGCCTACAGTTTCGGTCTTGGGAAACGCGCTTTTAGTGAGACGGATGACTATGACAATGTGAACGACAACGACGATGGGGATGATGAGCTGGAACTCAGCGACTTGGAACAGTACAGCGATGACCTCAAGAGGGCTACCTCGTATGGTTTTGGACTTGGTAAGAGGAGCGATGCACCCGACAGTGGTTTTGGCAGGAGGTCATACGATTTCGGTCTTGGGAAGAGAGCTGGTCGGTATGCCTTTGGTCTGGGGAAGAGGACTGGTCCGTATGCCTTTGGTCTTGGAAAGAGGACTGGTCCGTACGCCTTTGGTCTAGGAAAGAGGACTGGTCCGTATGCCTTTGGTTTGGGAAAAAGAGTTGGTCCCTATGCGTTTGGTCTTGGAAAGAAGGCTGGTCATTATGCCTTCGGTCTTGGAAAGAGAGCTGGTCCATATGCCTTTGGTCTTGGAAAAAGAAGTGGCCCCTATGCTTTCGGTCTTGGTAAGAGAGCTGATCCATACGCATTCGGCCTTGGTAAAAAGGCTGGGCAGTATTCATTCGGCCTTGGCAAAAGGTCAGGCCCATATTCTTTCGGTCTTGGCAAACGTAGCGATTCCGACTCCGACCAATACACCCTGGGAAGGCGTTCTGGAGTGTATTCATTCGGCCTGGGCAAAAGAGCTGGTCCTTATAGCTTTGGTCTTGGAAAACGTGAGGTGAGCGACGATGACCACGACGAAGATGAACAAGACATAGGAGTAGAGGAAGAGATGTCATCCTAAGTCTCCTTCAAGGTGTCTGACACTACCTAGGCGCATAATTATTCCCATCTTAACTTCCTCGATGAGACCGAATTCTAAAACAAATCTTAGAGCAAGAAATTACTCATATAATTATAACCCCCTGGTTTTGTGAGGCTTAGTGCGGCTGTATTCACTCCTCCAAGAGTATGTGAATGCCTCATTAGTTCTGATTCTACTAATCGGAGCTTAATTGGCTGGCTGGTAGTAACTTTCAAGGATGCTTTTGAATTCGGTCTTGTATCTTATTCTCTAACATATACAAGACAGGTTCCAGCTTCATCTTTCTTATTTTCTACATTTCTCCAAATTTACTTTACAATTTTAGGTCAATAATCATAAATGTAATTCCTAATGGTAACACCACGGAGGCTAACCTATGTTGTGCCTACACAACTCTGGCCTATCCTATACCATAAACTACATATTGTGGCAGGTTTCAGTATGTAAAAACAAAAAAACAAAATCAGTATTGCCAAGTGTATCAGTTAAGGTGATGGTCGGGCAATCAAGATGCTAAAAACAGAGGAAAATAATTGTTTTTTTCTTTGGATATGAGAGAATGTGTTGCAAATACCTCCAGTAGCCTTAGTCTCACCAGAGGCTAGGTCTGTATCAATTATGTTATCTTTAGTATTATATGAGAAATAAAGTAATATATATTAAAGATAATATTATGAATTTGCATAACTTGAAAAAATAAAATCATTCCACCTATAGTTTTCATACTATTAATGTTTATAGAAAACTTGAAGCATTTTGTCAGGTGACTTGGGGAGTACTGTACACAGAGGATATGTTCTAAGCTTTAATATTATATAATATTTTCTATACGTATTATATTGATATTTGTCCAAGATTATTTATAAAAATAAATTAAAAGGCTGAAGACTGACATTATGAAGACGGTTGACTAGGCTCTTATTGAACCTTTTAATAATGACAATGTGATTTAATGCATATTGATTTTTATCCTATAGCTTGTGGTGAAACCATTCAAAATTTGTATAGCAGTGACTAATGTTTTCTTCAATATGCATTAATGAGATATATTCGCATGAAGAGTAACGGAATTATTCTCCAGGGATCGATTTGCCTAAGGGAAGCCAACCTCAGGACGAGAGAAACTTGTATAACAAAACCTAACATAAAGTATAGTCTCTTGTTTATTACTGGTTATCCCGGTCCACTTTGAGCCAATACAGAAGAAGTGCTTCCGGAAAGGATTATAGTTTAAACCTCAAGAATATTGTATGTATAGTGAGCCACACTGGAGTTCTATGGAGTATATTGATTGTGTTTATGCCCTGATTCCGTTCATTGTGTGGCCATGTGACCCTCCTACACGGGAGAACATGTATGCTCTGTAACTATCGAATGTATATCAAAATAAGATATTGAAGCTATTTATTTTCTATATTTTTCCTCTGTTTTATAATATATGTTTGATTAAAGAGTTGGTTATCATTACCCAGTCGTGAATTCATCTCTCAAAAGAAGATTGATAACGATATTAAGGTTTTTTCCCAGATTTATTTCCGTGACGTTTTGAAGAAGTTGAAAGTTAACCTAAATGAAAAATTTAATATAGAAAACAAATAAAGTAAAGGACTAATAATATAGACAGTGCTGAAAAGGTACCTCAAATCAATCCAGATTCGTGTTTTGTGTACAGGATGTTGCTGACAAGTAAACCTCTCCAGTAATTGGGGTTGGTTTTAATTTACATTTCATCAAAGTGGTGGCCGCTTATGTGGCTGTGTGTAACACGTGGGTCAACAATAGTGAGAAAAATCACCGAAAAGGCTACCTCAGGCAGCAATGTTGGTGATCCAGTAGATAACTTATTAGTGAATGAGAAGCTTAATGAAATTCAGGAATTTGAACAAGATCCTAACAGTATGTGTCGATTGGTATATTCAGTGGATCTGAATGGGAATCTTTCAACTGTCATGTTTTACTGTACAACATTAAATAAATCAACATCACTTGCGAATCTGATGTCCATGGCGAAAAAACTTGCCCGATAACTTAACAAATAACCCCTCCCAACAAATTTTCTTATCGATTTATATCAATCTTATGGATCACATTCCCAGAGGGAAAAAAAAATCGCGAATTAACAGATTTTTTACACGCCTATAAATATCACATATCATGAAATTTAAGACACAGTAACCTTTGTTTTTGTTTTTTAAGTGATTATTGTAGAGTTGGAGGCCTTAAACACCTGAACACTTTCCAGGTCATGTTGTATATAAAAACCTTCTGAGGTGTGAAGATTTTGTAAATTTCATTTTTTGTTGTTGAAAAACGTTTTCAAATTATTTACATTTATATTTTCCACCCCTACCCCCGGGACAGTATCTATTCTAAACTCTTCAATCAGACAACGGATCGTAGAAGACAATAAAATGTTGTCCATAAACATAACTCTTTCACGCAGTTATATATCTCATCATTTTTAATTTATTGTGGAACAGTGCAATTAGTAACCTTGATAAATATAACCTTAAAAGTCCTTGGTTGCTGAAGCGCTGTCATGGGTTGCGTTAGGCTTACCCACGCAACCAACTCCAAAGTTTGTTTTACCAGAGATAAGACGCCCGGCGAGGCATAACTGGGACATGTATTTTTCAATTAGTGTATGTTAGCCAGCCTTTAGGGGGGTGGGCAGTGAAACAGTGTTGTACTATTCATCGCTTCACACCCAAAAACCTCATTTTAAGTAGTATCCCCTGAGCCATGGGTTAGTTAAGACGTCGTCTCCATCCTCTCCCTCCTGAAAGGGGGCGGGACACCACACCACACAGAGTCCTCCACCGCCACTCCGTCCTGTGAACCGTCGTCGACACGAGACTAAGCGTGTTAACCTAGGTTGTTATCCCCGTGGAAATAACACGTGTGGATGCCTGGTTGCGACAAGAGCAATCCAGGCTGGCCTATCAAACCGACAGTAAATGGTTAATTAATTCACGCTTACAGAGTTCTCCTGCACGACACCCGTCTACCGTGACCGTGATCGACACGAGACTAAGTGTGTTAACCTAGGTTTGTTATCCCCGTGGAAATATCACGTGTGGAAGCCTGGTTGCGACAAAAGCAATCCAGGCTGGTCTATTGCACCTAATGGTTAATTCAAGTCACGCTTACCAGTTCTACTTGCCGCGACAACCGTCCACAGTGACTGTCAGTGACGCGAGACTATGTGTGGTAACCCAAGAGTACCTTTTGTTGTTATGGCCGTGGGAAGAAGTTCTTGTGATGAAGCCTGGTTGCAACAAAAGCAATCCAGGCTGGCAGTAAATGTATCACTTGAAGAATTAAGGCTCTGTTAAGTCACACCACAGTAGGGTAATCACATGTGTCCCCAAGTTGGAAATTCCCTGTTTTAGAAGATTAATTTTATTACAGCGTGAACGTGAGTAAATCATATATCCATGCAAATTGTAAATCATTGTATGGAAGCTTGACAAATAAATGTAAGTGCAATTATCTGCCCGTATCTGTGATCCTATCTTATTATTACTGAAGGTAATGATTGATTGGTTATGACATAGTATAACCAATAACTTAGATGGATGTTGAAAATTAAATGAATTCATTAAATCATCATTTATCAAGTATAAATCATGGAATGTCGAGTGGTGGAGTGAACTTCTACGTAGATACGCCATAATCTCCTGTAAGTAACCAGTGTGAAGGTATCGAACTCTACAGTAAGAAATAAGAAATACGACATAATATTATCTTTATATAATATAATCCACTCCTACTACTACCGAACCACCCCAAAACCATGACAATTGGCGCCCGAACAGGGACACAGACCGCGGATAATTGCACTCTTGTCAGCAGTTTGTGCAAATGCCTATATTGTACTACGAAATGATTACTAGTACATTTGAGGGGACTCTAAGAAATTTTGAATGTGAAGTTAAAGGTGGAAAATAAAGAAACAGAAGAGGACTTGTGATGTTTGCCAGAACCAGCGACGGAGGGCGAGTTCTACCTGCATCCCTGTGGCCTCTCACAGTGATCCCCGAACCCTTGAGAGGGTGGCGGCGGACATTGTGGTCAGCAAACCCAGTTCCACATCAGCCAGCTGATTCAGTACGAGGCGGTGGACTGCACACCCAAGGGTGAGTGACGGGAAGAGTACCTCCACACCTTTGGGGGTCCTCATCAACGGAGGGACCCAGTTCCACCTCAGCCTCCCGATTCACTACGAGGCGGTGGACAGTAAACCCAAGGGCGAGTGACGGACAGATTTACATCTTCATTTTGGTGGACTTCAGCTTGAGGCGGTGGACAGTAGACCCAATGGTGAGTGATGGGCAGAGTACACCCTCACCTTGGGGGCCCTCAGCGAAAGAGGGACCCAGTTCCACATCAGCCGGCTGGAGGAGTCCTTCTCTTCACCACCGGGAAAGTTCATTCGACATTGCAGAGCGTGTCTAGGACCTGACCTATGTGTGGGAGCGTCCATATGTTCCGGTCAACTCGAACCTCCACGCATCTGACGACTCTTCAAATGTTATGTAAACCTTTTCACACCTCTCTACATTTAAGAACATAACACGACACCTGTACCACCTAAACAATGTCTACATACCCTACACTACACAACACGTTGCTGTAACATAAATGTAGCGTGTTTACGCTTAGCATGAACTATTGCTCGGGAATTGTCACCCTCACCTCGGAGTTTTCCTCCAGCCTGAAAATCTAAAGTAAATGTTGAGGTTTTCCCTCAGTGGCGATTGGCGACTACATCCCGTTGCAGTGTTAGTGTCACACCCACACCACAGTGTGAATGTTGAATTGTGTGTCTGGGCTAGGCATTCTCTTGATTGTATACAGGTGCTGAAATTTTTATTCTCCGAAGAAAAATTTTTCTTAGTAGGGGCGATTGTCATGGGTTGCGTTAGGCTTACCCACGCAACCAACTCCAAAGTTTGTTTTACCAGAGATAAGACGCCCGGCGAGGCATAACTGGGACATGTATTTTTCAATTAGTGTATGTTAGCCAGCCTTTAGGGGGGTGGGCAGTGAAACAGTGTTGTACTGTTCATCGCTTCACACCCAAAAACCTCATTTTGAGTAGTATCCCTTTGGCCATGGGTTAGTTAGGACGTCTCCATTTTCTCCCTCCTGAAGGCAGCGGGGCACCACACCACACAGAGTCCTCCACCGCCACTCCGCCCTGTGGACCATCGTCGACACGAGATTAAGTGTGTTAACCTAGGTTTGTTATCCCCGTGGAAATATCACGTGTGGAAGCCTGGTTGCGACAAAAACAATCCAGGCTGGTCTATTGCAATTAAATGGTTAATTCAAGTCACGCTTACCAGTTCTCCTTCCCGCGACAACCGTCTACAGTGACTGTCAGTGACGCGAGACTATGTGTGGTAACCCAAAAGTACTTTTTGTTGTTATGGCCGTGGAAAGAAGTTCTTGTGCGGAAGCCTGGTTGCAACAAAAGCAATCCAGGCTAGCAGTAAATGTATCACTTGAAGAATTAAGGCTCTGTTAAGTCATACCCACAGTAGAGTAATCACAAGTGTTCCCAAGTTGATAATTCCCTCTTTTAGAAGATTAATTTTATTACAGCGTGAACGTGAGTGACTCATATATCCATGCAAATTGTAAATCATTGTATGGAAGCTTGACAAATAAATGTAAGTGCAATCATCTGCCCGTATCTGTGATCCTATCTACCACCGTGCCACAAGGACACGAAAAGCAACTCTAGACTTTGTTGTATTTCACACAAAGCCTGTTCATCGTGCTTATGGCACCGTGAACCTCCAATTGGGGATTGCCTGTGGCACGGTGGTAGCATTCCCTGGTCACAAGCATAAGGCCGAGGGTTCGAGTCCTGGCTAGTGAGGTTATATGTTGAAGTCCGCATGCTATATGGACTAAATATATATATATATATATATATATATATATATATATATATATATATATATATATATATATATATATATATATATATATATATATATATATATATATATATATATATATATATATATATATATATATATATATATATATATATATATATATATATGTGTGTGTATATATGTATAGGTATGTGTATATGTATGTATAAATAAAAAATAATAATAAAAAAAATAAAAAAAAATAAAAAAATAAAAAAATAAAAATAATAAATAATAAAATAAATAAATATTGAAGTGATAACCGTGGTAACATTATGAGATGTACTTATTACTACCATGCTATTGTACTATTCCAGATGATACTATATGTTACATAATACTTCCTTGAGATAAATGTATAGTATATATCAGGTGCCTCAAAGAGAGCTCAGGTTCTCAACTGGCTCAGCCATGTTAATATTGTTATTATTATACACTCTGTATCTGTATTTTTCTGGCTAAATAAACTGTTACAATTCAATTCAATAAGATCCTGATAAGG